AAAGCGTCAAGTATCATTTCATACTTCAAAGGGTGGTTATAAAGTAACATGTTTAGCTGATAGGTTCCTTGTTTATGCGTAATGCTTTCCGTCTGTCACTGTTTAGATCTACTTTGATTTTGAGAAAACATCGGGACCACCTAGTTCTTCCACAATAATTGCTATTGATGAGATATCAGTACTTCAAGGCGATTGTCGTATGTTTAAAGATATTTAAAGAATAATTTTATATCTGGTTATTTTGTTTTAGTTAGTGAACCTGTTACTCAAAGCACGCCAGCAATATCAGTAGAACCAACAACTTCAATAACTGAGGCAGACTCGACAACAACTGGAATAACAAGTATATCAACAGTAATATAACACTTTATTTTTATAGAAATTTATACGAGAATGCACTCTTTAGGTACGGTTATTATGTAGTTTCGAACTGAACTACAAAATATGCGTAGTCCCACCGAAGAACAGTATATTTTTGTTAGATTTGTATGACCGTTGTATATTTTTAGAAAGAATGCCTCTTTTGGGTGTTAAAGCAAATAGTAATATGTTTCATATTTGATTACCTTCAAACATCTATCTCATTGAATATTAGTTTTTTAGTAAAGTTGTTTTACTTACATCTATTAAAAGACATTTTGAAATTTCTCAGCTGTAACATTTATTCTTATATCAACTAGGATAGTGTATCAGTTCTTAAATCTGTCATCAAAAGTAGTAACAAATAGTTTTAACGGCATTTTGTATTATTAGTACTAGCTAGGGTTAATTATTGTCTTTTAAACGAGCTATAATATACAGTCGGAAGTCGTCTCAAGTGGCATCTTATGAATTTAGTTTCTGCCTCTAAAAAACAAAACATTTTATATAGATATGTTTACTATTGAAAGACTCTGTATTCTGTATTATAAAATAGTCATATATTATTTATTTGTTTTATTCAAAATAATATGTGAAATATTTTTGTAAGTATCGCATAGACATAGTTGTCAATCGAAAAATAAATGTAGTTTCAAGTATATGCTGCCAATAATACTGACATTGTTGTGTTAGATAAACTGAAGAAGACTATCCAAAACAATCTCTTTTGAATTAGTATTTTACATACACATTAGAATAGTGATTAATTAAATTTTATTTTATTTGATGACCTTCGTTTTTTATTTTAGGAGCCCATCACTACAGCTACAACTACTATCACAACTACTACTACCTCAACCACTACAACTACTACTACCTCATCAACTACAACAACTACCAGTACTAGTACTATTACTTCAACAGCTACCGCTACTGCAATAACTACAATAATTACCAGTACCACAACATCTACTTCTATACAAACAACAGCGAGCACAACTTCAACATCAGCGACTGTAAAGACCACGGCTGTCACAATATCTACAACTACAGAAGCACTTGCTACTCATTTTATAATAACAACAACAACAGTTATGACGAATCAGCCATCATCCACTACAATAATTGCTAGTTCTACATCAAATTCTACAGTATCATCTACACCATCTTCCAAAGTTTATATCATAGTTTTAGCAACTGTCATTCCTATTGGTGCAGTTACAATCATCATTCTAATTCTATGGATTAAAAAGTTCATGCCATTTAAAAAATCAAAAGTAAATGTGCTTGAAATGAATGAAGTAGTACCAGCACCCATATAAAATGTGGTTACACATAAAACATTTCTATATTGTTACATGTAGGAACGAAATAGTTGTTGTTTGTTTGTTATTTCTTTATAAATGTTATCATTTTCAAATATCATATAAATAACATCATTGAAATATATTATTATATAGGACAAATATCTAGTAGTAGAAGATCTGCTCTTCGAGAGATTATGATATAACAACAAAAACATAGTTTAGTTACTATTTTACTAAGAAAAATTATTTTTAATAGCATTGCTGATGTAATTTATCAAGGCTTTTTCTTTATCGTACTAAATTATTGTCAAGTGACTCTGTTTCTGAAATTGAGAATATTTAGAAAAGAAGTAGCATCGGGAACAATTAACTACTAGTTAGCAGGTGCAATCATTAAATTTTTATATCTTTACATGAATTTTGATAAGATCGTGAAGACAGAAATCAAATGAGTATGCTAGTGTAAGTTTAGGTAAAGTATAATATTGAATGTTAATGTTATAACTGAATTTATCATGAATGATCTGATAATTGTAGAAAGAATTACTTAGTCATAAAATAATGAAATTGTTCAGACTACATTTCAGTTATAATTATTTTTGTAAGCATAAAATCGAAGGTATCGAGATTTTCATACCATTAATATGCCCTGATTTTTAGCTTTTAGTTTAATAAAATTTACCTGTATTAATTTTGCATCGAAATTATATTATACAGATATTAATGTCAACTATTTTGAACCTAGTAATATAAATTTTAAAAATATCTTCTGATAATTTCCAAATAGATTTCGTCAATACCATCTATTGATGATACAATTTAAAGAAAGTATCGAGATTGTTGACTATCTGATATATACTCATAGTTTTCTTCCCATTTTTTTTATTTTAACTACATTGTATGACAATAAAACATCTACGATATAGTTTAGATTTTAATGTGCTATATTGTCATACATAAATTATCTAATTACAATGTAGCTATGATATCAATAGATGAAATAGTCTCAAAAACAACAAAACTTTCTATTAATAATGTAAGTAAATGTTCCTTAACTCTTTATAGATACTTAATCATATTACTTGATTTAAAACTAAATCATATGTATTTGAAGAATCCATGGAAAGTGCTCCCGATACATTTACTTCCGCGACACTTGCTCCCCGGACATCTGCTATCGCGACATTTGCTTTCGTGATACTTGCTCCCCAATGACATTTGCTCTCTTGTGATATTTGCTCTGAAGTATCAACTGTTGATCTTGGGGGTGAGGGTGTGAATGTGAATGTGAATGTGAATATAAATGTGGGTGAGTGTATTATGGTTAATACACTCACATCCACACCCTACCTGGAGATGGTTGCTTCACGTATCCTCAAGAGTTAAGGTAGAAGATAACAAGATAGAAACATTTTTCTTTTTTAAATTGATTAAAGTTTCCAACATAGACCTTTAGATAAGAAACGGAGTATATATTAACACTCATGTATGCAAAATTTCAATGCGTTGGATGTTTTATAAAAAATATTTTGGCTGTTGTCATTTTATTCTAGACATAGATCGTAACAAAGCATTAATATTTTTGTTGAGTGTACTCCAAATAATCTAACTCAGATATATCAGCACTGAAAATAAAAAGTAAGCTTTCCGTTTCATTGAAAAAAATGCTAATGTGTAGTGAACTCGTAGTATATTATTATAAATGTTTATTTTCGCAGCATTATCTGCTATTCTTTTTTATTTGAAGATAGACATAACCCACACGTTACCCGTTTGGGACGTTTAGTATAAGAGGTTTAATTTTGATTCAGTATTAAAACTGATTGAATAGTTTATTTTTAACAGCGGTCTGTATCTGATTACCTTATTGTTTTCGGACACTTAGTTCTTGTTCATAATCAGTGCAAATAGAAATATCCTTCAACGTTACAAGATTCGACTGAAAGAAGATAGTGTCTATAACTTTTTAGGAGATATCAGGAGATGTCATAATATCAATACCGTGGATAATCATCGCGTTTAGCCAGAGTGCCTGAGCTTGTCCAACTTGATGCTGTAAGTGGGTGGGAATGGATGTGGATACCATTGTTGATGTTGAATGAGAATAATACCCACAACCGCCTTCAAGGCAATAGTTTCATGATTTTTTCCGCAAATTGTATTAAAAAATATTGAATCTTTGATGCGTCATAAGTTGTTTACCAAAAACCCTGAAACTGAAGAGCTCCAACTAAGATAGTTCTGTAGACTCCGTATTTTCATAATAGCTTGACTAGTCAAGCTGAAATATTCTGAAAATGAACATGTCAAGGAATTCTATCCTCGAAACAACTTTCAGCTCTAATAGTTGAGTTGTCGGCATTCTATGGATAGTGGCCATAAGCCCAAAAATCACTATATTCGGCTCTTTTGATGATTAATACCTTGTGCTTGGAAAAACATCGAGAGTTGAAATTGTACTGTAGCTAGAATTGGTATTAATCTATCTTTACTGAAAACTTAAGCTCCATACAGCTTTTTATTCACTTAGGAGTGTTCCCTTGGGTGTGGGTGGGTATGAGTGAATCAAGGATGACTTCACCACCCATCCTCTTTATTGACGACCATAAAAAATAGGAGGAAGTAAGTTGGAGAAATGAAACGACAAAAATTTACATAGAAATAATTGTGGTTTTTCTCTCATCAGGTAGTATGCATTCTTTTCATATTATTACATAGTGACTACAACATACAGTATGGGCAAAAAGAAGCTTGCGACAACGAGCAGCAGTACTAATAAGATGAAGGACGAACAAGTGCTAGCCGCTTCAAAAGGAACCACTGCCACTAAGCCTACATCATCGTCGTCATCCAAGCAAGTAACAGCAAGCAGCAGTACTCATAAGAAGAAGGACGAAAAAGTGCTAGCAGTTTCAAAAGGCATTAGTACCGCGAGGTCCTCGTCATCATCGCCATCGAAGCACGCACCAACCAGCAACAGTACTAATAAGAAGACGGGCGAAATAGTGCTAGCAGTTTCAAAATGCAGTAGTACCACGAAGCCATCGTCATCATCACCATCAACGAACGCAATAACAAGCAGTAGTACTAGTAAGACGACGGGTAAAAAAATGCTAACAGCTTCAAAAGAGAGCAATGCCACAAAGCCCTCGTCATCATCGTCATCAAAGGAAGCAATAACAAGCTCAGCTCAACATTCTACAATAGCTGAACAGTCGACTACCCATGCATCTCAAAACAAAATCAAGAGTTTATCATCGACTACTTCTGGCGAAGGTATGAAAAAGAATGGATACCGTTGTACGTTAAGATACACGTCGGAATTTACTATAAAAACTTGAGTATGAGCTAAACAATGTTGTATCTAGGTTTTTGTTTTCAGATTTGCGAACTAAAATTTCGGGTGCACAAACCGGTTGTGATGGTGAAAGTGTGAGAGATGGGCGTCGTTTAGAGTATGAATATGGAAAGGAAGTGATCAGCACCCATATCCGACAGTACCCTTTTTGAAGCTAATCAAACATTTTTCCATGAAAAAGACCATCGTGTAGATTATGACCTATGTGACAGCTATATTTGTCTAGAACAAATCTGTGAGAAAAGTAGAGGCAAAAACTCAAGGGGGAAACACCTGATTAGGAAATCGCTAATCACTCTTAATCATCCCTAATCACTCATAATCACCCTTAATCATCTCTAATCATCCTTAATCATTACTAATCACACTTAATTACTTCTAATCACTATTAATCATTATTAATCACTATTAATCATTGTTAATCAGTCTTAGTTCAGTATAATGGATAATATTATAAAAGAGATTCATAATCAAACAGAAGTTTCTTCTGCTTAAATATGTATACCAATATATTGTTAATACGAAAACACTTTTCATAGAACTATTTATCTAATAAATATTCAAGCTTCCTGGTGAAAAATTTACTTGATTAAAATTAATTAAAATTTCAAAATCCTATAAGAATAATCATAATCACAAATCTGATTTTTCTGCAACAAAATCAAAATTAAAATCGATTGTAATCAAATTATAATCAATATTCGTTCGACTAAAATTAACGAAGAATCCGATTATAACTAATTATAATTTCGATTTTTTTGCAGAAAAATCCAATTAATAATCGTGATTAAAACTAATTTCTAATCGATTTCAATCAACATAAAAACTCAACTTTTGCTTGATTTTAATCAAAATTTTAATTCCTAGTTTATTCAATTCCGTTGAACAAAAAACTAATTTGATTAATCATCTCGAAATTCTTCTTTGTATAAAGAAGCATATGTATTGAGATTCTCTTGCTCAAACAGAACGTGCAGATTAGGTGTAGGTTATCGTGACTTAAGGTATTCCGCAATTCGTCTTCAGTAGCTAAAATTATATGGAATGCTACCCTTGACATTTTTCAAATACTATAGAAGTTGCTGAAAGTCTTTTTCACGTACCATTTGTGGAATGTAAGCTAATTCATATGACCCACTCAACGTTTTATTATATACAAATGCTTAACTGTCAAGATATAATATACTTTGAAAGTAAACCTATAGTTTTTGACCAATCGAAAAATTGTATATAATAAAATTTTAAGTGGATCATATTAATTACCTAACCTTCCATAAGTGATACGTGAAAAAGACTTTCAGTAACTTCTACACTGAAAAAAATAAAGGAGCTTTCCCGAACCCCACAAAAGCTTCTGTGGAAGACCAGAAGCTTCCATTTGTGTCATAAGTTAAAAAAAAACGAACATCAAAATCAACAGAACCGTCAATGATTCTGAATTGTATTCCCTGAGCCGAATCCTCTTTTACTGAACCTTTTTTTGAATTGCGTAAAGCAAAAAAGGGTTTCGTAGAAAGATTCAAGACTTTCGGAGGTTTATATTATGTCCTGCAAGCCATCATGGTTTAGTGTGAAGCCATCAGAGTTTAGTACAAAACCATCAGAGTTTCGTACCGAACCATAATGGTTTTGCAGAATTTAATATAAGCCTTCGAAG